TAATATTATAGCTGTACTCAACAATGAGTTCTGTAGAAATGATTTTTAAAGTCTTTCAAACAGGGAACCTAACATAAGTTTTAGTAATGAGACATCTACACCAGAAGGTGGCGCTGTTGCTTTCAGTGCACTGTTCTGAAAAAGACTTTTGACCGTCCTTTCCGGATTTTCTTGGCTGCGCTGTTTCCATAGCAACCAAAAGGCAACAAACGTGATGGAGTAAAGTTAACTCCACGACAGATAAAACATTGTAAGCGATGGGTGGTAAGTAAGTTTACGTTGAAAAAAATATTTACTGTAAAACAACTTAAAAGCAGAGTTTTACCGCACTTGAGATGATGGGATCAAAGTGAAACGCCGCCGCTGGTGGGACACTTCATTTCGACATGACAGAGGAGGTGTGCGTCCGGGTGGCGGTTCGGGTCCGTCCCCTGCTCCCCAAAGAGGTCCTCCACAACCACGAAGTGTGCGTTCGGGTGGTGCCCGAATCTGCGCAGGTGATGCTCGGCTCGGCCCGCCTCTTCCCCTTCGACCACGCGTTCGGACCGACGGCCAGCCAGGGTGAGGTGTACGAGTCCTGCGTCCAGCCCCTGGTGGAGTCCCTGGTCGACGGACACAACGCGACCGTCTTCTGTTACGGCCAGACGGGCTCCGGCAAGACATACACCCTGGGAGGAGGGAACCAGGGTACGGTTCTAAGGTTCAGGGTTGGTTTTTGTGTTTGTTTTGCTTTCTCAAAATGTTTGTGCAGTCCTCACAATGTGTTAGAGGTATCAAAGCTGGGAGAAAATATACAGAAATGACTTTCATACCAAGCCATTTGCTGTTCAACTTGAAAAGCAGTGTTGTATAAAGTATCACAAAGTGATACTCGAGTAAAAGTACAAGTATCTTACCAAAGAATTACTTTGGTCAAAGTTAAAGTCTCATTTAGTAATATTATTTGAGAAAAAATCTTAAAGTAGCTGATATATTTTGTTCGTATGTATTAAAAGTGAAAGCATTGATTTAAAATGAGCAGTTATATAT